ATGTTATATTTTGAAAATCAAAAAAACAAAATACAGTAACCAAATCCTCAACTTATGCAGAATATGTAGCGTTCCCAGACGGCACATGATATCATTTGATTGTAGAATGATATCGTTTCTACGTCATTTTCGTGATATCATGTGATATCACATCCCTGAAATATCAGACAGATATTCTTCTAAGAATATTAGTACTGTTTTCTTTCAAGTATATCTCAAAGACATCGCTTAATGTATAGGAAATTTGAATGCAGTGTATTACACTCCCGTGATACTCTTATGATATTTTTGAAATATTTATTGATGATATCACAAATCTTCGCACAATATATTTTGCGCGAGATATGAAAATCAACTCTCAAGTTGCAATGTATACATTGCACTGCAATATTTTTATTAAATAATAATTAAAATAAATAATAAACAAAATGTGTACAATAGCTCAAGAATAAGTAGATAAAAACAATTATAATTTAGTAAGAAGCAAGTAGTCTCGCGGACTGAGTGCAGTGGCTGCGGATATGGGCTTGCGGAGGTCTCGAGTTCAAATCTCACTAATCACCTTAGGATTTTTTAAGTCCGGTTCCTTTCAATAGAGTTTATCGGCGAGCTGTATCAGGCCTTTAAAAACTAATTCGAGTAAAATCTCGAAATTCCCCTCATTTTTAAAACTTTTGCAAGAGATATCATTTGCATGTTTTTGATGTGGACATTAGCAGTCTCAGGCATATCCCTGAGATATTATTTGAACATCATTACTCGTTCGAAAATGTCTCAACGAGATATCTTTTGCACATTCAAAGTCTCTGTGAGATATCTTCAAGACATCTTAAATACATCATTGTGCCGTCTGGGTTGTCAGAAGCAGTGTCCGAAATAAATGTAGTTCGCGGAATACTCAAGTCATTTAATATAAACCTAAGAGAACCGACTAAAATTTATAAGGATAATACATGGGTTTTAATTAGAGCAAAAACGGTAATTTTACAAAGAATTCGAAACATATTAAAGTACAGACGGCGTCATTAATTCGAAGAATAGGCGCGGGGATCGGAGGGCAAGCGGGGCGGTTGCTCGTAGCGCCAACGGGCGCCGTACTAACTAAGTAGTAGCAATCGGGTGTCCACAACTGGACACCCTATTTTGGGACTAATGGATATTTGGATCAACTGGACTTTTTATGTGATCCCCGCGCCTACTCTTCGAATTAATGACGCCGTCTGTACACCCGAGACGTCCCTGCATGCCGGCTGACTGTCTTTTGTTCCTCGCGACATGGTTCTTTACGATCACTTTGACTCTAGCTTTTTTGACCTGCCTCTTCTCAGTGTTTCGTCACACAGTTTTTCCCCTACGCTGAACGCTGCTTGCTTTGTCTTTTGGTCATAATAATGTTTTGCTTTTTCTTTTTCTTCTCTGAGTTTTTCTCGTGCCACGCGATTTGCTGCTCGTAGTCTTTCTTTTAGCTCCTGCGCGTAATTTTTGAGACTATATTGCGTTGACGGTGGTTTAGTTAACGCGGTTGGCAACTCCGTGCATCTCCCGTACCAACTCAAAAAGTGTGAAACTCGTTGCTGTGTGCGGCATTGTATTATACGCGAACATTGCGTACGGCACCCACTCGTCCCAATCCGTCTGATCTTTGTTTACGTAATGGCGTACATACGAGTAGGGGTCAATAAGTCCTTAGAAAACCCAAGAGATTGCGCTCGTATCATCTGAAATGCTTTGTTTTTAGTAAGCGTCATTACTCATTAGATATCTAGCAAAGTTTCAGCCATATTCATCGACTGGTTTTGTTTTTATTGTCGATTGAAGTGAACAACCTTGGTTTATTTAGAAAAATGAAAAAAAGTGAGGTTCGAGCGGTGATTAAACACTTATATATAAAAAGCTTAACACCGAAAGAAATCAAAGCTGAGTTAGATGCAGTTCATGGCAAATCTGCCCCTGTGTTTGCAACTGTTTACAACTGGATAAATGAATTTAAACGTAGCCGTACATCAACAAAAGATGACCATTGTTCAGGGCTCCCCGTAGAAGTGAGTACCCCCGAAATGATCGACACAATCCACGACATGGTGTTAAGTGACCAAAGAACAAAATTCCGCGAAATAGTTGAGGCCACAGGGGTATCGAAAGATACCGTCGTTTCAATTTTGCATGATAAATTGGATATAAAAAAATATCTGCACAATGGGTGCCGCGTTTGCTCTTAGTTGAGAACAAACGCAATCGTGTGGTCGCCTCTAAGGCTTTCTTGGCTCGCATGCGTCGTACTCCGGATGAGTTTCTGCGTCGATTCGTAACTGTAGACGAAACATGGATACACACTTCCGAGATGAAGAAACAGTCAAAACAGTGGATTGTTAAAGGCGAACCGGCTCCAAAGAAGGCGAAGACGGTGAAGTCAGTTGGCAAAGTTATGGCCACGGTTTTTTAGGATGCACGTGGAATTATCTTCATCGAATATTTGGAAAAAGGACAAACAATCACTAGACAGTATTATGCGTCGTTGTTGGGCCGGCTGTGAGTGAGAAAATAAAGGAATAACGTCTTCATTTGAACAAAAAAAATCCTTTTTCATCAAGACAATGCTCGAGTGCGCAGTTTCGATGGCTAAAATTGAGGAATTAAAGTTCGAATTAGTAGACCATTTACCATATTCACCGGATTTGGCCTTCAGTGGCTTTTTTTATTTCCAAATTTAAAATATGACTTAGTGGACAACGGTTCACGTCAAACGAAGAGGTCATCGCGCATACAAATGCTTATTTTGAGGAACTTCCAAAATCTTATTTTTCTGAAGGCTTAGAATAATTGAAGAGACGTCTAATAAAGTGTATCGAGCTACAAGGAGATTATGTTGAAAAATAAAAAAATTTTCCACAAAACAATTTTTTTCTATGTTTTTCTAAGGACTTATTGACCTGACCCCCCCTCGTATTCGGCTAGCGTTCTGTGTGATCGTTCTAACGCGCTGTTACTTTCCGGATGATAAGCCGTCGTTTGTATTTTATTTATCCGGAGTAGTTTGCAAATGTTTTTGAACAATTCGCTAACAAAATTAGTACCTCTATTGGTTAAAATTGTTTCCGGTACCCCGTGCTCGCATACAATTTTTGTCGCGAATTCTTTCGCTATCGTTGCGGCTTCTTGGTTCGGAACGGGTATCGCCTTATTGAACTTCGTAAGGCTATCCTGAAAGGTCAGCAAATACTTATTTCCGTTACTCGTCACCGGCAACGGACCGATAATGTCAAGCGCGTATTTTTTAAAGGTTTTCCTGGCGTGTCGGTTATTACCAACAGTACTTTTATTTTTCGCGACTTATTCTTTTGACAAGATTTGCACTTCGCAATGTAATTCTCCACGTCGCTTGTTAGCTTAGGCCAATCGTATTTCATTTTTATTCTTTTTATTTTTTCATTTTTATTTTTATTCTTTTTGCGGGCTATTCCTTGATGCGCGCCCACCGGTGAATCATGACACTCATACAGTATCTGTCTCTTTTTTTTTCTCGGTGAGTCCTTGTTTCTCACTCTTTTCTTCTTCTGACATCTCCAACTTAACGCGCGGAGTGCTTATTTTTATTACTTTCTCTGTAGTGTTTACTACGCTTATGGGACAGAAATTTTTACTCGGCCGCACCAGGCAGCTTCCTATAAAAACTCCTGGTAGCGTTTTTCCTGCCTGCACGATGCCGATTTGGTTACTGTCTGTTATTGCTTGTACAATAGTTTTGCTTCGGGGTGGTAACTCTATAGTCTTAAACGGGCGTAATCGCAACGTATTTTTCCCAAGCAAAAGTTTCCCCGCTCTGTAATCGTGCTTGACGTTATGCTTTTTAATGAAGTCATTTCCCAAGATGCCTTGGTAGTTAATTGGAAAATCGTCTTTCACCACGTAGATCGGGTGCTTGATTTTTCTATCTTTCAGCTATATGGTGGCCATGATTTTTCCTATGACACATACTTGGTGCCCCGTAACGCCTGTCACTTTCATTTCCGTTTTTTCGGCTGGCATTCTCCTTTTTAAGTACTTTCTTTTAATCAAGGACACTGTGGCTCCAGTGTCGTAAAGTAACTCTGCTTCGCCTTTCTTTGGTTTTCTCATTGGTACGGTTACTATATCCAGAACTGCTTGCGCAGCATTTAGCTCGACTACCTGCAATTCTGCTACTAACGCAAATTTTTTTTTTCTATTGCCTTCTTCGTTGCTCGATGACTCGCTATTGTCACTTTGGCTTTTCTTTTTCTTATCTTTTGCTGCATGTATTGCTTTTGCAGTTCCTTTTTTATTTTTCCTGCCGTTCAATGACCAGCAATTTTCCCTGACATGTTCCGTTTTTTTACAGTACACTGCTTCTCGATGGCATTTACTCGGCTGTTGCCCGGTTTTGGCAATGCCATCTTGCCCGATCGGCGCTCTCTTCCGTAATGTCCGATCTTTCCGCATTTGTAAACTTATAACTTTTCTTATTGCTACGCGCTTGCGTTGGCACGCGGCTTTTTGATCTTATTCCCGCGGTCTTTTCTTCCGCGCTTGCTCCGGCTATGGCTTCCTGAAGTGTGGGATAACTTCTCTCTCGCGACCGTACGATTAATTTTAATTCCTCGCGTAACCCTACGCGGAAAGCCGGAGATTCCAGGTTCGACTCCTGTCTGAAGAGTTTTTTTCGCAATATTTTAAATCAATTAGGTGGGTATTCGGGGACTATCATATATGAGATGCAAAACTAGCATCCTATATGAATTTATGAATTGAAATTTCAATTCGAAAAAACACGTGAAAAACGTGAATTTACTTATATGTGTACACACATATAAGACATATTTTCCGCAAGACATCCTGTGAAACGGCTCCATAGACTGTTTATTTATTAAGTTTAATAGACTTCATGAGCCAGAGGACGATACTCATATTTAATATTAATTAAGGTTATATTTTGCGAAATATTTTATGCGCGGTTACGAATGCTCTGATACCGAAGATGTTTTAGATTCACAAGATAAAACACGGAAACAGTTTCAATTGTTCTCGTATTTGGGACACGGGAGAAGAGAGGGAAACAAATAGATAAAACGTTTTGCAGTTCATAAAATTATTGAAAGCGTGTGTTTTGTTTAGTTTCAAAGTGGATGATTGACGCAGTGCTTTTAAGGCTCGATTTCATTTTTCTAACCTGCTTGATAGTTTTGTGACTACACTTCATAAAAGGTAAATATTTTAATTCATATTTTGTAATACAATTATTGCACTAACTTTCAGAGTTTTTCACACGCTGTCGCAGAAATAATTGGTAAAGATGAAATAAAAATATATCAGCTTTTGTTTTTTGATGCAGATTTGCAGTTCTTGTATACGCGTTTGTACTTATTCGATTTAGTCGTTTCTTATATTAAAGTAGCACATAAATGAGTTCTGAAGATAAAAATTTCATTTATAGTAGTTTTCAANTAAGTAAATAATATTTTATTAGGCAGTTCTTATCTAAATTCAATTGTTTCTTAATACATCTCATCAGTCGGTTTTTAAAAATAAAAGATCTTATTTTAACATGTTTTATATCCGTAATGTAGTGCTTAAGAGTAATGAAATTCTCTAGTCAAGATTAAAGCTGATTTGAAAATTCAATGCTTGAGAACCGTTTCTTAAGAACAACATTATGGCTATGAAACATGCAATATTAAGATCCATTCTTAAGAAATGACTATGAGATGTATTAAGAACTATTTTGTGAAGTAGTATTTGTTTTTGTCTATAGAATTACGTATTTCATTGCAATAAAACAAAATGGTGTCTGACGAATTTATTTCTTAGTAATACTTAACATAAGTATTTCTTAAGAAACGACTAGGAATTCCTTATATGTTTCATAATTCTTCTTTGTGTTTATTGAATCCTCTCACTTGTGCTTTATTTTTTTCGCTACGTATCTTGCTTTCTTTCACTTTTTTGTTGCAAATGTACAGTGTCCTGTTATGTACTTTTTAATTCCGTTGTTTATATTTGAGTAATTATTTGAAAATATTTAAACTATAACGTTTTAAATAATCGAATATTTTTCATAAACATAAATAGATTACAAATCTACATAAAATAAATCTAGCGGTTTAACACTCTCTAAAACCTCGTCTTATATACGACTAAACTTAATAATTTATATAAAAAGTAATAACAATTAAAGGTTTGGATTAGGTCACAACCTAACGTTTCTTACAACCAGTTTTTTTTAACAATTATTTATATTTTTGTGCCTGTAATATCATTACTACTAATTACTGGCAATTATACATTTTTGCATGATTCATATCGATAGATTGCATAAGGATATTATAATGAACAATAATACACATTAGTAAATGTGCAGGTGATAATGAATAGAAAAAGGCCATTGAAAAGTATAAGCTCCTATTCTACTCGACATCGTCGCAGACTTCGGCAAGAAGAGATACAATTGTTATCGGAGGCATTAGTAGATGATATTGATTCTTTCTCACAGATCAGTTCAAATGTAAGAGAATACGAGTTGTTGCAAACCAACGAAAGCAACAAAAGCAAATATGACAATATCAATCTTCAAGACAATCATTATGATGATAATGATAATGATAATAAGGAACAAGTACAAAAGGATTGCGAAACGGAAATTTTATGGGATGAATATGAATATAAATATCTCCACGCTCGTAGATCTACCGATTCTGAATCTTCGGAACAAGAAGACGACATTAATGATAAAGTAGCTAATTTGCCACTATTTCAAGAGAACCAAGAACAAGAGAAAAATGAGCCAATAAAAAAATTCCTTACCGACTGGGCAATTACATATCACATCAATCATGATGCGTTATCACAATTATTAAGACGGTTACGACAGCATGAGTGCGCTGAAGTTTCCAATTTACCTGTAGATTCACGGACACTTCTGCAAACACCAAAAAAAACCATATTACGAGATGTTCCACCGGGAATGTATTACCATTTTGGCTTAAGAAGTGGCATATTAAAAATATTATCTTCGGTAACTGGTGACCTTCCAGATTGCATTAATTTGCAACTTAGCGTCGACGGACTACCACTTTGGAAATCAATGCCAGATCAGTTGTGGCCAATTTTAGCATCTGTAATACCGTATGGAAATGTTTTCACTGTTGGAATTTATTGTGGAAAAGAAAAACCCGCCTGCGCTAATATTTTTTTTGAAGATTTAGTAGAAGAAGCTAAAATATTATGTTCAGACGGCATTATATTGAATGGTCGACATTTCCCTTGCTATATACTTCAACTGATATGTGATACACCAGCAAAGTCGTTTGCATTAAGCATAATATCACATACGGGTTACAAAAGTTGCACAAAATGGACAGTTGAAGGAGATTACATCGAAAATCGAGTTTGTTTTCCAAATTTTGGTGCACCGCGAAGAACAGATGAAGATTTTAAAAATAAAATTGATGAATCATATCATAAAGGCAGAGGTATTACATGCAATCTATTGGAAATACCAAATTTTGGCCCAGTTACGAATGTACCCGAAGATTACATGCATCTAGTTTGCTTGGGAGTCGCTCGTAGATCATTAAATTTGTGGTTATGTGGGGACTTTAAGTATCGTCTTCGACCTCTTATACAGGAAAAAATATCAGCACGCTTAGAAAACGAGTTGTTACCATGTCTTCCAATTGAATTTGGACGAAAACCAAAGTCGCTGAGATATGCTAGAATGTGGAAAGCTACAGAATATCGCCAATTCTTGTGCTACACNGGTCCTGTAGCTTTAAAATCAAAGTTGCGACCTGATTTATATAATCATTTTGTATCTTTGCACGTGGCCGTAAGAATAATGTGCTGTGAAAAATTACACTTTCTTTTGCCATATACACAACAGCTGCTAGAACATTACGTTATTTCTTTCGCAAAATTGTACGGACGTCACAATGTCTCGCACAATGTCCACGGGCTTATACATCTTGTTGAGGACGTTGAAAAGTTTGGTTCTTTAGATAATTTTAGCACATATAAATTTGAAAATTATATGCAAACATTTAAAAGACTTGTAAGAAAACCTAATCAGCCCTTACAGCAAATTGTACGACGAATAGCTGAAATGGAAAACAACACTATTGTTATTAAGGCTTTCATGGATATTGAATTTAAAGTTGAACTCAAATCAGAACATCAAGCTGGGCCTCTTATTGCACGTTGTAGTGACCCTCAATATAAAATTATAAGACGTGGAAATGTGACACTACAGGCAGGCAACAATGCAAATTGCTGCTGTGGTTTAAGTTGTGGAAAAATCGTTCTTATAGAAAACATAGCATATTGTTTGCAACTAAAGAGTTTCGTAATTATAGGACGAGAATTTNTTCATAAAAATGACGTGTATAAGCAACCTTGCAATTCTTCATTAATTGGAATATATGCAGTACATACGCTGTCGGAATTACAAATATGGCCTTTACAAAAAGTT